TTAGCGTTCGAGAGCGAGCGACTGGATTAACCTTGCGTTCTCGTCTCGCTTGAAAACGCAGGCTTTCTCGCTCTGGTCCGTCGCGAAAACAGAATCGAACACATGCTCGATGCATGTCGAACGGGGTGCTCCGCCAAGATCGCGTGCATCCGGTGAGATCGACCGAGTATCTCTTTCGAGTCTCCCTCAACTTAGGTTCGCGCCGCGTTTAACCTTGTCAGTTTCCTGAAGCAGTAGAAAAAATGCTCCCGATTCATTAACTCCGTCATGCCGCTAATTGTAAGATCAACGTGATACTTGCACTTTACAGTAATTTTAACGATCTTAATCACACTTGCTCGCAAACTTGTCGGAAAAATCTTGTTTAATTTTTCTCATTTCTCTTTTCAGTAATGTTAATGTATTATTGTATCATGTTACATTCACCATCTCGCAGACTGTAATAAATTTCATATCGAGCAAATCTTTTGTGAAAAATTTCATCTATTGTAAACTTTTAATCTTCTTTTTTGTCAAACTTTATTATTTAAATTGTGCATAATATATTTATATTGTATAAGTTTAATTATATAATACAGTTTATAATAATAAATTATAATACAGTTTATATAATAAATTATAACAGTTTTTATATAATAAATGTACTTTTATTCTGTAGAAAGTGTGGAAGATATATTATACAAATGTATTATACACACGAGAGATTTACTTGTTCGGCGATATGGTTTATCAATTATACTCTCACTTCCGAAGTGTGTGTTTCGTGTGGCAGTAGTATGTCCGTTCCGCCCGTGAGTACAAATGACCTCTGAATCCTTCAGACACGTTATTGCACATGCAATACACCTGTTACTCTACACGAGTTGCGTAAGTTTCCTCGGTGGCGAGCCCACGAGTCAAACTGACCGCAAGAATTCCGAATACTTTCACTCGTTTCAGGCGCGGCGCGACGCGGCGCGCAACACGAAGGCGCGTGACTGGCCGAGAAAGTATTTCCCCAAATATGTGTCCGATCTGATAACTGATAACAGCCTAGAAAGCATACATACAGATAAAGATAATACAGAAAACCAAAGAAAACAGAAACTGCGGAAATTCAATTTATTTTAAATCGCGCAATTAAATCTTTCAGATTTCTTCAAACAAAATTCGATCATATTCTGCAACCTTACGCACGCATTGCGTGAAAGCTGTGTGGTTATGCAAACTGATTCGGCCGTGCTAGCCAATTTTCTGATATTATCAATTTGTAATCGCGTGATTCGATACAGCGCAAGGCAAGATTACTTCAAGTCGAAGAACAAAAGCGAAAGCCGGTCTTGTGTTTCGACTACATTATTCCTATAATTATTTCGCGCGGTCACAATAAAATTATCTGAAGCGTAAACTACCTGAAGAAGAGAATTTTGAATTGTGCAATATCTCACAAACGTATTACGCACAATCATTTTGTGCTACTATAATTTCAAAGTGACTGTCTTTCAACGCTATTTTGCGTCAAGACAATCAACTCTCTCGCATGTAACTATCTTCTCCCAAATCAGCGCGAAACCTTGAAGAATATCTCCGGGAAGGAGGGAGAAAGGACAGACGCACATCTACTTAAAATTACAAACCAGTGGTCTGTCGCGATACAATCTGTCGAAAAAGGCATAAAGCGATGAATGTGTCACACAAAAGCCCCCAAAGAAGGTGAACCGGACTTTCAGGGGTCAAGCGGAGTCAACTGATGCGATTTGGTTTATGACCGCGTACCCCTTCTGCCCCTGTATTATTGTATTTTCGACGATGATTTACGATAGGAACGACCGCGTGTTTCCCTCTAATTCTTTTCGTCTTTTTTTCTCTTTCTCGGCTGTGTATACAATAACGCACGACGTTGCAGCCGATGCATCGCGGGATGTCATCAACAACACTACGGAATTTCGACTTTTGATGGCCATCTTTCTACCTACGCGTCATTCAAAAAAACAACGCTTTTTATTGAATTTTATTCAATTTGTACAAGAAGAGCGATAATATTAAATAATATGTCGTTTTTTGCAAATGTTGAAGTAACTTTTTGGCCACTTTTAAGTTATTTTTTTCGTAATTGCTTTATTTCAATAATACTTTAACTCTATTACTACCATTATCGATTTAGTATACATCATCAATTATGAAAGTTCAACACGAAGCTATGCATTACGTAATGCATAAGTTGTAACAAGTTTAGAAATGTTCACTAAAGCGTAAAGGTTGTCGATTGCCCGAAAAAAAAAAAAAATCTTTGTAGTAAATCTCACACGTAACACTGCGTTTATTCATGATACAGTAAATTCACTGCGGTTTTGCTACTTTCCATAGATTAGCGCTTGAATTATTGTATGCGTTCATAAAAAAAAAAAAAGAACGAAGAGACGAAGAGATACAAGAATAGCTAAATGTTAAAATATTGTACAACAGTAGGACAGTATACTTGCAAGGACTTCGACAATTCGAGAGTTTCTTGGACGCATTTAATGACCCGAGAAATCTTGCCTTAACGTAAATCGCGATTAACGTAATTAAAAAGTCGGGGAACGCGTCGAGCAGGTTTACGCGGTTGTTGTGAACTAGCGAGAAACGCATCGGAGCACACACGACAGAGCGCAGAGAGTGGCTCTGACAGATGGTCACCAGAGATTTCCGCGAGAAAATAACATTTACAAAAAACGTTGACGAGAAATATAGCGTGAATATGAATACACGTGTTCGGAGGAAGGCTTGGCAATTTCTAGAGAGCGACGGTAATCGTTGATGGTTGCGAAAGCAACTCATCACGAAGAACGAAGGTCTTATCTTTGCGTATCAAGCTCGAGATGGTTTTTTTTTTTATTAACCAGCGGTTGGAACCTGCAGTTGTTTTTATAGTCCGACTGTTCTCGACTATTCGAATTTATTCAACTAATTTTGTCAATCTTATTTTCACGAAAATAAAATGTTCGACAAAATTTAATTCAATAAAAAGCATCGAGTCTCTTTTGAAAATACAAAAGTATAAGAAGAAAAATTCATCTAAAAAAGCAATTGCGCGTTAATTACATGACATCGTTGCAGCGTCGATACCGAGAATCGCTGTAATTATATCGAAACAAGGAGCACTTTGTCGAACAAGCCCATTTATACGCATACATCGCGCCGATCCCGATGTAATTTCTTCTCTTTCTTTATCCCTTTTTAGATTCACATCCGGTACCAGCTTCTTCACTTAGTAGAAAGAAAAGAGTAAAAGAGAATTTTATAAGAAAAAAATTAAAATTGTTTTTTTTTTTTTTTAACTGAAAAGACGATATAAAAAAATATATATATATCGAAAATTCATTATTCTTCTCAAAAAGGAGAGTCGACAATTTTGAAGATAAATGTAAACTGATCATCGCATTAAGAAATACGTGAACGGACTGTAAAGCTGATTTATGTCGAAATTTAAACTCGAGAAGTATTTGTATTTGCACATTCTGAAATATGCAACAATATTCGCGCGGCCGTGAATGCACAAAACGTATGCGAAATAATGCGATAAGTAAAAGCCAATCGACCGCTTTCACGTATGTGTGCATTGCAGTTTATACCGGCGTTTATAGCAGTGAAATGAATGCGTCGCTATCGATCTTTCTCTCTTACTATTTCCATTCTCTAGTTTGATGTAAGACGCGTGATTTATTAAACATGAGTTTGAAGCTCTCAAACCAGATGTTTACTCCGTAGCAAGATAGAAAATAATCGTACTCTTGCAATAACGTAAAAGAAAATTAAAAAATGTCCAAGGTAAAACAAATTTTAATTCAAAATTATATTATGTAATTTTTTTTAATATAAAAGTTTTTATATATTTTTGCGCACATTATTAATATTGATATTATATTTAGAATAGTCAGTGTTCAAATTTAAAAGATAGAAACTGAAAGATGTGACATACGTTTTGTTGTTTTCCGTTATTGTCCGCGTATTACTGTTGCTATCGAAGCTACAAAAATAGTTTTGTAATCACATTTGAAATTAAGACTTGTGAGAAAATTTAGATTAGCTGCTTGTCGAGGAAAAAACGTTTCATCCCGTAAGTTGTCATTTTCATAAAAGCGTTGCGGTGAATACGATAAATAGCGAGAAATTTTGTAATACCGCAAAACTTTGTCATTATCAATGATGCAATTACACGAAAATACTCCGCATCTTGTTATTATTCTCGTATTATTATCGTATTCCTTTTAAATGTCTTTCTTTCTCTGTCTCTCATTTTCTATTATTATTACTTCGTAATTTTGTTCAACGTTATTAAAGCGAATTGTGTATGAGTGTGCGACTATGTATAGCGTGGTGTGCAAGGGTGTTGTCATAGCAATTTTTCCTTCAATGTGAAACTTATTCTTATCTCCGTTACACACGCCAACTGACGTGACATTCACGTTTATGGTACACTTCTGAAATATGTTGTAGCAAAAGATTTCCGTGTATCGTTAAAGTGAGGTACAACCTTTATTATCTATAGGCTATAACGCGAAATGCTTCCGAACATATAAGCGGGTAGGCTGAAAGCAATATACAGAAACATCCAGCAAAATTGTTGGCGATCGATGGCCAGGAATTGCAGGTGTAAACGCCCCAGCGATGTAATTTCATCTAGTAGCTATTTTCACTCCTTCGTTTATTATAACAACATTTGAACGTGTATTTTAAAACTCTTCGTTCACAAATCTTTTCCAATTTTCTTTTATATATTCTGTTTACAAAATTTTTATGTAATGTTTTTTTTGTGACTGATCTTCTCACATGACGTTTAAATATCTCTCATCGGCGTTCAATGTTTTTTGTCTTTATTTATTCAATAATATTTACTCGATGTTAACTGCGTTAATAGCCACATCGCCAATGTACTGACATAAAGAATATTGTGCAATATATGATAATGCAGTATTTTACTTTGAAGTAATTATTTTAAGGAAAAATACAAAAGCATGGGAGCAACGTTTAGTACTTACCTTTATCGAACACGAAACTCGAAACTGACGGAATTGCGGATATGTCGTCTGGTTGCTATATTAAATTCCTACGGTATACCGCGGAAAAATACTCCCGCAGTTGCGGTATGACGGTTCGTTCCTGTCGGAAAAGCACAGGTGTCATCGCACTGTCACGGCGCACGCAATTCACGATTGCCGCATAGGATCCCGCGGCATGCTTCTTTCTATCTATCTCTCTCTCTCTCTCTTCTTTTTTCTTCTGTTGTACGTGACGTATCGCGGTAATCGCAATTCGGGAAACAATCGGGAATTTCGGGGAGTGGATGGTACGTGAACCTCGATCGATGTCCGTGCGCAGACTGGCCGCACCATCGTCGCCGGTTGCCTCGCGTTCGTCATACTACGGCTCCTCGTCGCGTCTTTCTCCAGCGTGTGTTTCCGCTCTTTCATCCTTTCCCCCACCGTGTGCTTCCTCGCTATCGGTCTCGTTCGCACACACGTGCAAATTTTCTTTTGACACGCTCTCCAAAATGTCACACGAGATCATATGTATAAGAAGTTTGTATATATGTAATTATTAATAAATAATTGTATGAATTTACAGTATTAGCTCAATATAGATTAGTTAATTACAACATTCATATAGGAGATAATGACAATTAGTTGTGTGGTAACAAATGTAGCTCTTTAAGAAACCGATGTCAACTCTTCGTAGGATGCTGTTTGTTTCGTCATATTCTTTTCTGGTATTTAGAGAATTATCCATTCTCTCCATAAACGTGTTGACTATGTCAAATGAGCATTTAACAATGTTTATGCAATCGCCAGGTGACAAGAAATTATTTTTGTTTTTTTTATATTGACTTCTTCACCAATTTACACTGTACTAACTGTATCTTTTATACCGCAGGAGCATTCCGTAGACCGTACTTGGATGTGTGACAAGACATCATTAAAATTCCGTGCGTCTCGGTTTTAAACCGGTGATGTTTGTTCTCTAAATGTGAGACAGAAAAAGGGCCACCATACGTTGATGCTTTTCTTGTAGATACAGCGTCAATACACTGTTTGTCCTCCGCGGCCAAACTCTAACTATTACATAAGAAAGTTATTTCATAACGCTCAATACAATTGGGACAAGTTGATGTTTTAAGAGTAATTTGAAAAATATAAAAAAAAAACTAATAGCTAACAATCCCGTTATCCACAAACGATTTAAACGAAGAGTGGAATTATTCACGATTTAAATGTCTTTCACCATGACCGCGATCGGAAAACGACGGGAAGACGTTTGATCGGCATCGATCGTAACTAAAGATCTTAGAAATACTATGTGCTATTCTGCGCAAGAATCTTAGCTCGTTTAAGGTAAGTAACTGCTGCACAAAAACTGGACATTCCGCTACTGTTTGTCTCTTTTTCATTCTTCCCGGGTTTTTCTCTTTTCTACTTTTCATCGCTTTGCTTCATGAGCGATGGTGACATTTAAACCTACACGTGCGATATATCTCGCAATTTATTTATCAAATCTGCAGAATTGCCTTTGATCGCAATCTGTTTTAATAGTTATTCTTCAGGACAATTTAATAGTTATTCTTCAGTTTGAGATAAAAATTCTAATGTCATAGTGTTGAAACTACAATTTTTTAAATAATTAATTTTGAATTATTATTAACACTTACACTTTGAAGTGATAAAACTTATTATTCCAAGAGGATCTGCATCTACCGGCGAGTGATAAAGTATCATTCACACATGGCCGCAGCTTCGTACTTCGACCGCACGAGGTCTTCAATATCAGTTCGTAGTTCGGTTTAATTTCTTAGAGTCTGAGCACAATAGAAAAAATATTAGAAATAAGAATTACAAATAGAAGTTAAATGTACTATACAATAACAAAAAATAAAATATAACATATAAATACATAGGAAGTATGTCATGGCTGCATATGTTTATATACATTTGACAGCCTATATTTATATACATTTGTATGTTATATTTTATTTTTTCGCATTGAGCATTACATTTAATCTCTGTTTTTAATTCCTAATATTTTCTCTATTGTGCTCAGGCCCTTTGTCGATATTTAGATATAGTTTATAAAGCTAAAATAAAGTACGCATGTGCAGGAAGTTGCACATGGTAGCACGATATTCCCCTCTATATTTCAATTTTATTTTTTTCCTTTCGATGTTGTTTTGTCTCTGTCTGACTTACGATATACTGACGTATATCCGCATGTATTACATACATTGCAGCATTTAATATTCTACTGTCGTTCTTTGTTTAAACATGAAGAGAAAACATGAGAGAAGAGACTACTCTTCAAATAATTTGTTACATTTAAAAATACTTAATATGTAATAACAAAAGCTTAATTTAAAAAAAAGAAACACTTTTGATTTGTTCGGAATAAAGATCACTGAAAATCAGTAATGTACACATAGATAACTCGTATGTATTTCTTATTAATAGTATTTAGTATGTAATATAAAATATATTGTTTTGACAATCTAGAATTAATTAAAAACATAATTGCAAATATTAAAAAAATATATTACAAATATTTGATATGTTTGCAATAGTTGCTACAGTCTAAATAAAAACATTTGTTTTTTGTCTTACATTATAGTGAAATAATTTCCGAAATATCACGGCCCTGACAAATTTGAGATGTGTACGGGTTGAATCTCATCATGAGACGATATCTTATCACAAGCGCGGAACCTTTAACCCCCTACACAAACATAAAAAGCATCAGAAGACCTTTAACATCCGATCCACTCCCTCGTCCATTCGTCGGCGCGCCAGCAACGGAAACACTTATTTAGCTACGCGCAGTGTACGCCGCACTCTCTGTCTATCTTTACTTTCGTTTTCAATCAAGTCGCCGATTCGTACCCGGATTTACTTCCTGGATAGTTATCGCGAAGAATTTTCACGTTAATCACGGTGAAAGATACGGAGATCTTTGTGACATTTACAATTTTCGTACAAATCCAAGTACACTCGACTCAGTGTAAAAAGCAAGAACTTGAAGAGAATTTGTTCTCAAATGATCAACAAGAATAAAAGTGATCAGTGCGACGATTTTATTTTTCATTTGTTAGAGTGGTTTTCTATTTAATTCTTTTATTTCTTAAGATTTATAAAGAGATAAATGATATATAGAGATGTGCTAACATATAATTGAGATAATAAAAGAAATTTTATAATAAAAAAAAAAAAACTGTGACCACATGCTGATAAAAATGCATTGAATCTTAGAAAATTCAAACGTTAACGAGATAAAGCTCGGTCTTAAAAAACATGAGATCCGCCAGGGCGATATTGTTTCTTTCGCTGGTGTATGTAGTGTTCACTGCCGTGCAAGGAGGTAATTATTGTCAATTTCCGGTATTTATTTATTGTGATATCCGGTGTTTTATTAATTTGCACGTTATTCAGTAATGATGCATTGTATTAGAATGCATAGAGATTTATTCGGATCGCGATATTGATAAAAATACCATTGATTACTACAAGTTAATTTATTATATTCTCAGTAAGCGAATTGCAGACAATTTGCGAATAGTCTTGTTTTACAAATTCGAACAGAATATTACAATAGATTAAAAGTCGTAAGACAATCAGGTTTATATTTTGTCAACATACTTATCGATATTATTGTCATCGAGACGATGCAGCATAAGCTCGAGCAGATCTATCACAGTTCGTTAAACTATTGCTGTAGAATTTTGCTACTTACGTTTCGTAGTTTTTGCAAATCTGCTATGGTTTTAATAAAAATCTATTTTTGATAGACTTGGCTATCATGATTATTATGATAAATTTGAAAAACTATAGGTGTGTTAGAATGCATTGTAAAAATATATTTATAAATATATTTGTACACAATAAGTCGCTTCTTAATTTTTTCGAATTGTTTATTCTTATAATTGATATGTGATATCAAACGGAAAAGTCATTAAAATATATTTTATCTTATATTTACAGAAATATCTGCGCAGTCCACATGTGGTCGTACAAAATGCAAGAGTAAGTTATATTCTACACGCACCAAGCAAAGAGCAAAGTGTAATCATATTTCGGTTTTGGTTACATTAACGGTCAAATAGCCAGTAAGATGAACATCTCAGATGTCTCACATGCACATTCAAAGGGGAAACCGAAGATCTATTTTTGCTGAAATGACTTTATTTTTGAAAATTTTGAAGTTCTGAATCTCTGTTAAATAACGATTACTTAAAATATTATTTCGAACTTTAATCCAAACTATTTTATTTACGTAAATATGCAGATAACATTTTGATTATGTTGCTCTTTTGTTGCACATTTCTACAAAATATACAAATATTTAATGTAAAGTTATTAAGTATGGCAAAAAAAGTTTAATACGCGTAAATAAAAATATGATTATTTTAACGTAATAAATTTACTTTCTTTATTAATTTTTTCTTTTTTTGATCTTATGCGCTTGTTATTATATTTCTATTTACGTCACAGTATATTCATGAGAGATGAAGGACTTTGATCTTTATTCTAATTCTAAACAATATGCGTGTTTGCAGAGATAACAGAATACGAGGAAATAAAATTTATATGGAAAATAAATTAACGCAATTATAGAAACGTATTCTCGGAATAGAAACTAAGTTTGATTAGCATAAAACTCAAATTAAAAAAAATTCATTACACACACACGAAGAATTTGTCTTTTAATTACAATCAAAATTCAAGAATCAATGATCAAAGTCAAATTTCATTGAAGTAAACGTTGCTAAAATGAAATGACCACAAAAGTGAAAGAAGATATCTGTTAATTCAAGTGAATTTCTTATCTCGTATACTTGCCAAATGATCACGCATGGGTAGAAGAAAAATAACGTTACATATTTCAATGTATTGGACCGTTATCAAAAAGAGAATGGAAGGAAAATTTCACAATATACTAAACACATCGCGAATATTTCATTTTGACAGCGTCAGACCATATATATTTTTTTTATCTTTTCAGTTCCGTTGGAGAAAAAATTCAAATATCAGGAAGGTATCTATTACGTTTATACTTATTCTGTTGACGTGAGTACGAATCTAGGCTATCAGCAGTCGTTATCTCATCAGTCGCAAAATGAATCTTCGTTGCACATCGATGCCACGCTGTACGTGTACTTCAACAGCCCCTGCGAAGGCACTTTGAAGATTCTGAACACCACCATCAGCCACAATCGCAGCACATACAATGTCGAATTCCCGGACCGAGCTGGTTCCGAATTCAACACCAGACTCGAACGCTTCGCGTTGAGATTTACTTTCGACGATGGGTTGATTCATGAACTGTGTCCCGACCGGCAAGAGCCGGTCTGGGTGTTGAATCTGAAGAAAGGTATCCTGTCGATGTTGCAGAACAGCATGCGACGCTTCGACGTGGATTATCACGGCAAAGAGATAGACGTTTACGGCGCCTGCGAAACCGAGTATCGGTTGCACGAGGCAAAGAAGACCAGTCTGATCGTGAAGAAGATCAAAAATCTGGCCGACTGCCAAAGCGGTCCCAAGTACTTCTCCATCGTTCAATCGAATTCCTACAAAAGCCCGCGAAAGCAACGCGGCCAGCACGGCTTGTTCAAGTCTCACAGCAACTGCGAGATCGTCATAGATCACAACATCTACGAGAGAGTGGAATGCGAAGAGATGTGGTTGTTGCAACCGTTGTCCACAGGGCACAAAACCGGCGCCAAGACCGAATCCAGAACAGTTCTTCAATTGATTCAAGAAACAACGGACGCTTACAGAGAATTCGAGGAGGATACAAACAGCGACGAAGAAAATGAAGACAGAAATTTCGTTGCAGACGCGCCTCATGCGCACACGAAGAGAACCACGTTACTATATGACCACGCGAAAACGTTGAAGACCATGCACGGCGAGCTGCGAACCTCTAGAGATTTGCTGAAGAGTATGTGCAAACTCGTGACTAACATCAACGAGCTGCAGCCGAGATACTCCGAGATGTTCACCAGTTTCGTCCGTTCGGCTCGTTTTCTAGATTATCCATCTCTGTCACAGCTGCTCGCGAGAGCTAACACCATTTGTGCAAACGGAAAGTACGTAAATTATATAAATGCAATTTTTTCCAAGTATCTAAGAAAAAACAAACTCGAAAACTTCGATATAAATATTCGAATTATCGCATCTTTGTGTCACATGCAATCAATATGTCTTTTATCAACAGAAAGCACATTATTGCTGCGCTGCCGTATCTAAACAGTAATGCTGCAGTGAACGTGATGAAGGATCAGATAAGAAAAGGATCAGTCAATCACGACATTGTCAATGATTGGATTATCACTTTTGCATTGTTCCCGCAACCGGATCGCGACACCATTAAAATTCTTTCGCAACTGACAAACATTCAGACTCAAATACCTCATGTTCAGTTTATTCTCAGCTATTCCACTATTATTCACACGTATTGCAAAAGTAATGACGTCAATTGCATCGGTATACAAGAGGTGGATAAGTTCCTGTTACATCTTCAGGAAAAAATCTCGCACGGCTGTAGGGCTCAGCCTCACACTCCGCTCGTGACAAAAGAAGTAAATTATTCTATTAGCTTTATCTCTTAATTTGTTTGGCGCATTGTAGTTTGAAAATAAAAATTACAGTTTCCGACAAATGTTTCTGACAAATAACTTTGTCTTGAACACTTATAATAAAAATAAACAATCATCGAAAGAAGATAACGAGTTTTCAAAAAAAAAATGTAATTGCAGACGTTAGAAGCTTTGAAGGCAGTCGGTAACATGGGACTTGAAACAAAAAGTTTACGAAGTGAGTTAAAAAAATGCATTGACGACGCTAGCGGATTTGTATCTATGGAAGTTCGCGTTGCCGCCATCGATGCTTACCGTAGACTGCCGTCTTGCGAAGAGACTCGAGATCAATTTTTTCTCGATTATTATCGCAATACGACATTGGACACGGAAATCCGTATTGCTTCGTACTTGCAAGTAATGCGATGTCCCAATTACAATGTCATTAAGATCATCAAGCATGCTCTCAAGATGGAAGAGGTCAATCAAGGTTTGTGTTTATTGCAAATCTTTTGCGCAAAAAGGAAAGTTTTCTTTTTAAAGATATAATTTATTCTGTCAAATTTAATTTTCAGTCGGTTCTTTCGTATGGAGTCACTTGACGAATCTCTACAATTCCGCCTCACCCACCAGAGTCGAAATTCAGAGTCTGCTGACGGATCGAGACCTCGACAACAAGTTTAACAGTGACATCAGGAAATTTTCGCGCAATTACGAGAATTCTTTCTTTTCCGAGGAGTTCAATATTGGTGCGAATTATCAGACAAATCTGATATTCTCGCCGAAATCGTATGTGCCGCGATCGCTCACGTTGAACGTAACCGCCGATATCTTCGGGGAATCGATGAATCTGTTCGAAATTACCGCGAGAATGGAAGGTCTCGAACAATACGCGGAAAATCTTTTCGGTCCGAATGGCATTTATAGCAACGAAAAAATGTCGCATCACTTCCAGAGCTTTCTTAGACGTTTTAGATCAGCGTCGGAAGAAAACGAAAATTACTTGAATGGTGTAAAACGACTGCCGAATGTTATCGACAACAATTTTGATCATCCGAAGATTAGTTTCGGCTATAAGGTACACATATATAATAATTTGCTATTAAAAAAATATTAATTATTCTTTAAAAAGCGAAATAAATGCAACACAATTCAAGAAATATTTGTAATACGGACAAATTTTAATAAGTTGTGTAAGATTTTGCAATTTCTTGTTTGTTGCAAAAGATATTCGGAAACGAGTTGAAGTTCATAATGCTCGATGGCGATAAGCAAGTAATGACCGCGCTGGCAAACTTCAATCCCTGGCAGAAGATAAAGGAATTCTTGGCCATGCAGGAAATTCTCTATGAAAAGACCGGAATGTTATTGGATTTGTCTTATGTTATACCAACAGGGTCTGGGTTACCGATTCGTTTGGATATCGCCGGTTCCACGGCTTGTAACTTAAAGATCTCGAAAATGCTCAACGACGCTCGACTTTCAGAAAAAGAGTTTCAGCTCACTGCCAATATCGCTTCTAGGTATGTAATTTTTTTCTCTTTTATCCGTTGTCAGTTTTTTTTATCTATTTCAGTTTTAGATGAATATCTATTTTAGACCATACATGGTAGTCTTATTCATTATTTTTGCAACGCACAGTTTGTTATCTTTGCGCGACTGTCATTTATTATTTGCTTTTTACGTTTTCCTTATACAGTATAAGTTTTGATACGATGAGCACAATGACAGTGGACGCCTTCTACAAGTCCGCTGGGCTTAAACTACGCACAAACGTTTATTCTTCGGGAAATGTACAGCTTCACGTGAACGTAAACGGCACCCGTTTGGTGCGCGTGAGTCTGGGTTTACCAAACCGTAAACTAGAGATATTTTCGCTGTTCTCGGACGTATCTCTAATAAAACGTAACGGTGCCGAGATTGTGGAGAAACCGCTGGGTATCTTACTAACGGCTCAGAATCAGAAGAACTCGCGACACCTCGCAGTTGTGCCCAAAAACGTTATCAGCAACACCACCTGCACCTGGGCTGCTCTGGACAAACTAATAGGCCTAAAGATGTGCATCGATTATCAATTTACAAACGCGACCAAAATGTTCAATATTCCTAATTTCGTTCTGAACGGGCCCACGCTTTTCAAGATCTCTTTAAACAAAGCCGATCCAACTGCTAAGAACTTTGTGTTAGAATATAAATGGAACAAAACTGAGGTACTGTACATATTGTTTTGTATAATGTTACAATTTTTTTAATTAGCAATTAAAAGTTTTTATTTAATATTGTATTTTTAATAATCAAGTAACATATTGATGTTTAACAAACAGCAATGTTTCGCGATACTCTAAATGTAACATAAAACATAAAATACTTTTTACAATTGTTATTAATTTTCTTTCAGGAGCACAACACTTTCAAGTTAATGTTCGACACACCTGGCTCACAGATAAACAGAGAAATAAGCGCTATTGTCGCTTTTGATGTAATAAAGAATAATATTACTATTCTGCTTCATTCTGCTGGCAACTCTCTGATTGCTAAAGGTTAATATCTTGTCTTTAGCTTTCAAATGTTGTTAACGGAAATATATTAAAGACACATGTACATTTCTAGGAACATATAAGCGTACTGAGGAAGAGACTTTCATAGACATTGGTTTCGATATCAATGGTACGAAGCACTTGGACGCCAGTTTAGGTTACACGCAAAAAAAGTCTAATCACGGCTACACTTATTATCCCAGAGTTTATCTCACTGTCAATAGTGAGCGTGTCGCTGCTCTTTCTGGTATCTTATTATAAATATTATTGCATTAATTCTTAAATAATCAAAAATTCAATTCTTCCATGTATGTATACTTATAAAAAAAACTCTGAATTATCAGGTACTATCAGAAATGCGCATAAAAACAACGTCTCACAGTTTGACATAGATCTGACTTTTCAAACAAAGCGAGTCTGGAGCAAATTAGTTGGCTACGTTGTTAAGCGGAATACCAGCTTGGCCGGCGACTTCCAGTTGGATTATCAGGTGCAACGTATGCCGAAGAAAGAAAGTCTTCACTTAGAGATCTCGATATCAAATCGCTCGTCGAAAACTCTCACGCACAAAACTGCCGATCTGAAGCTCCAATCCACTGCCTATCCGCAACTCAATACTGCCGTTAGCGCCTCGTATCAACAAGCTCTTGGTCATTTAGAACTACATGTCGAAGTGAATTGCAATCCGCATCTCAAGGACGACCGGCACAAACTTACGGCGCAGCTCATCGTTTCTTATTCAAAAATGTACTTTCAGAATCAAGGCACAAAAGTGAGCGCACTGATTGCCGTCACTAAACCGATACAGAATTTGGACATCAAAGTGGGCGTGAATCATTACTATCGTAGCACCGAATCAAAAACCAGTTTGCTCATAGGATATGCACCAGGTAATCAAAATTAATCACATATAAAAAATTTTTTTTAAATATCTTATTTTTTATTGAGAATAATTAAAAAAATTAATACTCACAGGTAAGGAGATCAGTTTAATCGTTAACATTATCATGCCACGAGGTCTATTGTTCTCCATGGAGGGTCACATGAATCTGACAATTCCGACTTTCAATTCGATGCTAATCGACGCGCGTATCAACGAGCACACGCGGAACGAATATGAGCTTGACTTTTCCGGAACGTGGTTTAGCGGTCACAATATGACCGCGCGTGGCGCTTACTCCGATCGATCAGCAGGTGCTATTGTCAACCATCACCTGAAGATGTTGCTTAACTCACCGAGTTTCGTTAGTCCGATTTTGCTCAACTGTCAGTTGTATCAGAACCACAGCGATCTCAGAATCAGCCTCCTCGCTGATCAACCGGACTACGACAAATACACGTTCGTGTTGAATCACACGATATTGTCGGAGACTATTATGATGTCCTACGTGGAAGCTAGATGTCACGGTAATGTATACTCGATAATGACAAACGTAGACACCACGCGAGAAATCCGATTAGAGTTGCATCTGGACAAATGGAGGGATGTGCACCTGACACTGAGTGGCATCAACGAAGAAGTTCGACAGGAATATGCTGCGGAAATCAAATGGGATGCTAACAGGGATCCTGCGTTGAAAGTGGGCACAATGTTGCAGTTAAGCAGAGTATATCTGACGGATGTATCTCCACCAGGAACCGAGCAGAACATAATAATAACGTTGACTTACCCAGGTCGACTAGTGACTGCTTCGGGTAACTTTATTATTCATAGTGTACGCGGTTATCTGGCTAACGCGGCTCTAGATTGGGATCCTGACAAGGCGATCAAGGTGAGCATCGGTGCAAATTGCGACGTGCAGCCAGAAATGACTTACGTCAAGTTAGAGTCGCAGCTATTGACGCCTTTTGAACAGTGGACAAAAACCGCTTTGAACGCGAGGCAAGTATAACAAAGAATTACATTTTCTCTTAAGAGATATTAATATTTTAATGTTTGTTGACAGATATCTACAATTATCCAACAAGATCGTCGTCAGCAGCAGCGCTCACTGGAAAGACTCTCAGCACGTGACGATGGATTTATCTGCTAGCATGGGCGAGCTCGGAGATCTGAAAGAATGGACGGCAAACTGCGGCTTTAGTAGCAGTCTCCATACCAATTCCTCGATGATTGTGAACATTACGCACAAATTGTTACGCTCACAGACGGCGGATACCCATTTGGTGATCAAGTACGATCCTGACAAGACTATCGATGCACGTAGCATCTGGCATTTGGACAGGGAGGGTTCATCGAACGATGTGTTCAATCTGACCGGCAATTTGCATCTTTATTCACCCTTAGTTAACTATCGGAAAGGCGAACTGAAGTGTCAGTTACGTCTGATGACTAACTGGAAATTCTTCGGAGCAGCCAATCTCGATATAGACAAACGCAAATATAGCGGTCAGTTGGTCGGTGATCTAGTACGTTGGAAGGAATCCAAGATAGAATTTAATGTCACCACGCCGTTGGAAAAATTTACCTTTATACGAGGTAAATTTGGTCTGTCAGAGAGCAATCGTCACGTGGTGGCGAAGATCGTTACACCGAACGGTCCAATAGGTATCGAAGCTATCTGCCAGATTCTCACTGCCATTTATGACTTCAACATTAAATTGATGATAGGAACGCCTATTGAATTACTGCAAAAAGCTTTCGTGGTGGCCAAGTTAAATCGGCGCGAAGCGGACTTCAGGATCGGTTACAACAATATCACAGCGGGCTTCCTAGGCACTTGGCATTATCACAATATAACCGATTTTGATTATAGCTACATAATTCTCACGCCTCTGGAAGGTTTGCAGGAATGCGGTGTGATCACCAAGCTCATAGTGATACGTACAAAGCGTGAAAATATGTTGGATGTAGACACGGAGTTTTCAGTAAGGATAGCGGACACCAAGCTCGGTTTCAAAGCTAAAGAAGGACCAAAACCTCCGCCTGTTAAAATTCCGTTGAAAAAGGGAATAGCGATATCAACGGAGACTAATCTTCAAGCTAATGAGTCGGCAGAAGAAGAAGAAGAAGAAGAAGAAGAAGAAGAAGAAGACGATGGTCTTTACTGGCGTGGAGAAGTGCAGGTACAATTAAAGCTCGATTTATAAAACAAAAACATTTCTAAAAATGTAATTTTAACTATTGTTGCATTTTATATACACACAAGATTTAATTTACTTATGTGCCTGTATGTTTAAATCTAAGATATGGACTGCAATACTTCCAAACATTTTGGGAAATCTGGATATTGACACAGAAGGCGATAATTACAAGATTCTAAGCACCGTGAAATTACCATTTGGAAATATCTTTATAGACGACACTTTTACGATAGAGGATGTCTTTCATATAAAAAATGATCTACATATTGATCTGACGTTTAGCAACATCAGAGAGATAAAGTCATCGTACAATTTTGTCATTGACTCGGATGATCTAACAACTTATCTCATGGAAATGAGCGTAAATGTCAGAAAACAAACTACATGGATCGAGGTAGCATTTTTATATATTTTAATATTTTACTTGTTTTTTCACATACATAATATTTTCATGATTAGAAAAATATTAAAATTAAAAAAAATATATATATAAAAACTTAAGTGTATGAAAACTTATTTATTATTAGACTGGATTTCATGCTAATTATTCGCATCAATACGTGAATAAAACAGTGACACACATGATGAAATTCAATGTAAAGACACCTTTAGATTTTCTAAAAGATTTACGTACTAACGTGATCGTAGAAATTGAAGGCAATCGATATAAAGGTACAGCCACAATTCGTGGAAACAAATTAATCATAGATCTATTCGGAAATATAATGGTACGTACCATCTTCAAAACCTGCACAAGTGAATATTTATTATACACATATACGGAAATATAAATAATAAATTATTTGTTATATTTCTTTTTTTTTTTTATATAGCTAGAAGAAGCTTTGTTCGACGTGATAGCTTCGGGTGCGATTAATTCGTCCATTTTAAAAATTCCGAAAACTGAAATTGCCATGAAGAAGAATTTCACCGGAAGTAACAAGGAATTCAAATTCAGTGCAGGGATGGCAGAGCCTGTATCAAAATATGTAAGTATGTCTTGTACATACGTTTGTAATCTCTGATTAAACTATAAGTTGAAAATTGGTTTATTAAAACTTACTCTTATTTCTAATATTTTATTTCACAAATTAATGATTGATGAAGCAATATTAAATAAACATTCTTTTCATAAACTGAGTTATTTTACATGTAGTAAAATTTAATAAAGATCAAAATGTTATTATTGTAATACTTTGTTATTTGTTCAGATATTATTTGAGTCTGGTTGGCAAACTGACGAACACTTTGTGAGAGCGTCCGCGAGATTAAAGAGCTGGATAAAAGCTCTCGAATCATTAAGAACCGAGATTCTTTTCAAAAACGCAATTCGCGTAAATAACACCGCCGAATTGGACGTACACGTGACTCATCTCGATAATCAAGATTACCAGCTAACCGGTAATTTGAGTAACGGCAAGATCAATGCTCAACTCTATACGCCATTGTCAAATAAATCGCACTTCGAGTTTAACGGAGACTTAAGAATGATCAACGAATCTTTGTACGATGTTAGAGGAGAATTAAAAAATCAGCTGCAAGCAAAAGTTTATGACGTTAGTTCTGTTATCTTTACAAAAGCTGACGATCTGATTTCGATAGATGTAACAGCTTTACCAAAAACTGCGAATACCGATCAAATTATTTTGCGGTTTAAAAAAAAGACATACGGTCTTCTGTTGGATATAGATAGCGGATCTTTTGTCAGCAATCTTGACGCAAATATTATCAGTAAAGTGAATTGGGACGTGAGAATGCACACAAATATAAAAAAAGCTTATCAGGTTGATTCTTACAATCTGACCACATTTATGAACGTCATGGTCAATGGCAATACCACTTTGTATGTTCACGCTGACACACCGTGGAATGACAGCAAGATAGTCACTCTATTCGGCAACATGATGCTGACCAACACGAGCGGTGACGTCCGGCTGAATCATCAACTGAACAACGATCGATCGCACACAGAGATGGGTTGGAGCCTGATTTATATGGAAAATATGTTCTTGAAATTAATCACAAATTACGATACGGTAAATCTAGGCAAGAAGGATCTGTTCACTTACATGTTCTTCAAGAATCCCGGTCGACTGTATAGAAATCTCGACATGGGTTTCGATGTGAACATCGATCAAAAGGCATGGGAGTTCGCAACAAACGCGACTTTGGGTTTTCGTAATCAGAATATTGACGCGGTCTTCGTAGTCAAATTGCCACCTCCGAATAATGATGATCATCGATTTCTGATTAGCTATCACACTACTAATAATATGCAGGACATTTCTTACGTGGTGGGTTACAACGCAATTCAAGCGAAAAAAAATTACGCTTCGGACGGATCGGTTAGTATTTAATAGTTCTTGTTATTTTTCTTTATGTTGATAAAAAAAAAAGAGATTGAGATAATAAAATTTAAATAAGTTTTCATTAACAATATTTAAGCAAATCTTTTTGTATTTTGAATATTTATACACATAAGAATAAAACAGATTTCTCTCAAAAGTACAATGACAAAATTTTGCAAATATTTTAGCTTCATATGATTACGCGTAATATCAACGGACATTTCCGACTGACGTGGGGAGTTTTGCCCGCGCAATCTATAAATAATCTCTTCAACATTACCTTTGACAAGAAAGAGCTCGAACTTAGATATTCCTTGTACACGCCGTTATTTATGCAAGACGAAACTGTCGTGCTTCTCTTCAGTTACGACGCTAATTCTGACGAACAAACTCTCATCAACGCCGATATTTTCTATCCTCATAGTAAGCGGATTGCAACGGCAAGAATATTTTATGAAAGTTTGATTAACGTTAATGGAACACTCAACGCTACGATATCATTTGAGCGTATGTCGTACGCCGGTTGCAATTTTATTGTATATACCACTCTGTAAGTAAATTATTGATCATTTAAATCTGCTACATTTTTACTTTCTGCATCTGATAAATTATTGAGACGGTTATTAAAAAAATTATAATATAAAATTCTTATATAATCAAATTACAATATAAAATTATAATATAAAATTCGCAAATCTTTGCTAATAATAATATATATTTTGATTTTATTTTGTTAACACATAAATGTTTTAATTATTAATGTTTTGTGTGCGCAGTAAACAAAATAAAAGATTTATCGAGTTGTTTTGGTTAAATAATACGGCCGTGGTGAATTCCGATTACACCTATCACAGCGAGCGGCTGGATTCGAATTTGGAAGGTGTTCTACATGTAGAAGTTCCGCTGACAGCTCGTCATATCGGTCATTTGACTTACGGCTACAAAAAACGTCCCCAAATCAGCACAGGTCATTCGATTCTAATGTACAACAATAAAGAGGTTCTGCGAGCTCAATACAACTCGAAGAGTGAGTCCCATGCTGGTTTCGACAAGGATCGCATTGACATCACCATAGAGAACATTTGCAAACCTATTGGCGTCGTTTACGTCAATCAGTACGAGTACAGCGCCGGAAACGAGGGTACTAATTATCCTACTACCGAATACAAACACGTCAATATTTACCGGCTGGACAATAGCTCGCTCTTCAACATCACCGGGGAGTCTAGAATCCGGACCACCCATACAGGTCAGAACATCCATTTGAAAGCAATCAATTTAAACAAGACGGTTCAGTTTAAGACCAACTACGACGTACTGCTCGGTGAGTTTGACCAAAATACTTGGATAAGTCTGGCCGAAAATGTTTGGATCTCCTATCGCGTAAACATCGTAAACAAGACTACTGACGACATGGAAAATCAGTTTCTCATTCTCAGCGTTTCCTATCCTCAAAGGAATTTTACGCTGAACGGTTTCTATAGAATTATCTTCAGTGAAATAAATTCCGAAGCGACCTTGAAATGGGAACGGGACGACCAGATGTCTAGAACTGTCGGCGCTGCGTTCAATTGGATAAATGACACCGACAGTCAGCAGGCGATGCTACTTTTCCAACATCCGACTTTTGAGAAGAACGTTAAGTTGAAAGCCGTGTTGCTACAGAAAGATCGACGAGATCTATTGAACATGAAGTTATCCGCGGATTATTCTACCGATGAAAATAAATTGTTGACATTATCCGCTTTGTTGAGAGACGAGAGCGACGTGTCCAGTATGAAATACGTGTACAAGATTGTTAGCAAACATGTAAATACTAGATTGGATCTTGATGTCGAAGGTTTTGTTCACAGACAAAATTACACGCTTTTCGAAACGGTAAATCACGCGCAGTACGAACGCGGTTATCTGTCGCTCGAAACTGGAGAACTGATCGGTCGAATTGATCGAGAATCACGGGAGATCACTTTCCGGCGGGTGAACAATGACGTCATTAAGTATCTCGCAATGGGTTATTATCCTTCGCCCTCTCGATACATTGTAAACGGGAGTGTTATCAACACGCCAGAACTCAACGCTACCGGATTTTTCTTTTTGGACCCGACAGAGAAACTCACGTGGATGATGGTAAATTATACTCCCGACGCAATAGTGAGTTTACGAATGTACGGTAACATCCCGGATGTGCGAAACGCGATATTTAACATTTGGAGAACATACGACGACGACTTGTCAATATCGGACGTTTCTTTCTACTTAAAGCTGAATCACTCGAGACTCGTCACGTCAACTTTGCGATGGCGACCCGAACTGAAGAGTGACATTGTCATGACTATAAAAACGACCTTCAATGAAATGTGCGAAAGCGTAAACAACGACGTTAATTATTGGAAGCATTACATAAAGAGCGAAGTCGCAAAGTGTGTAACGGATGTGTGGGAAGACGCTCAGCAGGATATCTTCGGATTCCTTGATGACTGGAACGATTTGAAGTTTCTCGAGCACGACTTCGAAAATCTCAAAACGTACTTAAACGACTCCTACAATGCCAACGACTTCTACATCAAAGACATTGTCGGTTTCGGCATTTATGTCATTGACGAATTATCTCTGCGAAGTCACATCGAGTCTTTGCCGAACATCGTGAATGAAATTTGGGAGATAATGGGTGAATCCGGTGAGGCGCTGCGAAAGTCGTTGCTGTGGCTGATTGAAACTATCAAAAACGCTTACAACAAGACCTCCGAGATCATCGCGGCTGTGCTTAGAGGCGAATCGGTGTCGCAGGTGGCGGACATAATCGAAAAATTGATCGAGAAATACGACATGTTCATCAAGGATCTGCACGTCTCTTTCATTACGTACATAGAGAATCTTTGGAACACAATCTTTTCGTCATTATCGAAACAATGGGATCGTTTTCTCAAACTAATGGAACCTGTATTCATCCAGTTTATTCACTATTTGGAATCACTCGTCTGGAAGGCGAGCAAAGAAGTGCTGGACTTTCTGTACGACAGAAAACAGGAGCTCATTATGTCGCCGTATTTCGACCGCTTCACCAATTTCACGCACGACATCGACAAGATTTATCGCGACATCAAGGCGAACGACATAGTCACCAATGTGTACAAGTACTCGGGTTTACTGATCGAGTTTGTGAAGGAACGTTACTTCACTTTCGTGCCGTTCGGCAAGGAGCTCCAGCATGTCGTTGACGATATCGTGTCGGAATTAAAGGAACTTCGTCACTTGCCGTCGGTTAACTACGCTCTTGACAAGTTGGGACAATTGTACGACAGGATCAGTTATTTCTTCGAATATTTTGATGTCAAGGCAAAGCTCGAGAGCATAATCCGGCTAATACACTTGAAAATGATGGACATCAGTCTGACGGCGTTGCAAGCCGAGAGTCGCTACAGAGAAGCCAAAACTATGTTTATCTTCGATCCTAATCAGGGATTGATGTGCTTAGAACAAAAGTTGCCCATGTCCTGGCACGCTTTTAATCAAACGCCCGAGTTTCAAGAGATACCGGAAATTAGAGCGATCATGGACATCAGAAAGTATTTCGTTGTCTCAAACACCACGTTCTGGAGTCTTTACTATCAATACAAGCCGTATTCGGAACTGTCTAACTGGCTGCCGCCATTCAAAGGTGTGTCTCTTTGTAAACGATTATACTTGATTTTTTGATTCAATATAGATCTTACGTAATCTCAAAATTTCGTTAAACAACTTGCGACTAATTCTAATAACTCGTGTAATTTTTCAGCGCAAGCTATGATCATCGGTTCTCAGCATTACGTTACTTTCGACGGCCGTTATTTCGACTTTATGGGAAATTGTACCTATTTGTTAGCGAAGGACTTTGTACACGACACTTTTGCAATTCTGGCGAAATACAATCAGCAAGTCGAGGAAATAACGCATGAGATTATAATATTAATCGGAAATAATGCTATCGGATTGGATCTTCTTAATAATGTTAGTAAATTCCATTATATCACACAAGCAATAAGACACAATATAATATATAATATTATATAATAAATTGAATTCCACACTTTTTTCTCTAGACAATGAAGCTGATCTCGCAAAAATCGGGCATCACGACCAATTTGCTGCTGCCTATCGAGCTGGACAACGGCACGACGTACGTCTACCAAACGGAGAACGTAATGACGGTGGAGCGTAAGCACAATGAATTCCGGCTGGAATGCAACCTCAAATTCAATCTGTGTATCTTGGAATTGTCGGGCTGGTATTACGGAAAAACCGCCGGTCTTCTCGGCACGATGAACAATGAGAAATTTGACGATACTCTGGGATCGAACAAGCTTTTGATCAAAGACACCGGTAGTTTTGCTCACAGCTGGTCTATCGGCGAGGATTGCACCGACACGGCAAATTACGCTAGCACAATTTCGAAACAACAAAACGATGTGGTGTCCAAGTTTTGCGAAGAGCTGTTTGTCAACAAGAGTTCGGAATTTGGCATTTGCTTCGGTGTGGTCAATCCCGTCGAATATATCGACATGTGCATGAGCAGTCCCACCGAGGCTGAGGCGTGCACAGTGGCGATAGCGTACATGCAAACATGCAAGTTCCGCAATACGTATCTGCGAATACCCGATCGATGCACCATGTGTGCCATGATAGACGGCACTCAAGTAGCCGAAGGTCGTTTCAAGCGACTGGAAGGAGAAGAAGTTCCGCGTTCGGCTGATGTGGTATTCATCGTTGAAGCAAAAAGCTGCAATCGCGATATAAAACTGAATAGCAGCATGGAGCTGCTAATTACACAGCTGAGCAAAGAGCTTAACGAACGGAATCTCACGGGCAATCGCTTCTCGCTAGTAGTTTTCGGAGGCGACGGAATATATGACCAACCCAGAAGCATTATTCTCGACGGGCAGATCTTCACAAAAAATGTGGCGCGCTTTATCGATTACTTTGATCAAGTGCTGATCGGCAGCGGCAGTCAGGACATCTTTGCCGCGATCGGTTTTGCCTCGCGACTCGTCTTCAGGGCCGGTGTATCCAAGAACTTTGTATTAATGCCGTGCTCGCACTGCGAGTCGGAAAATCAAACGGTAACTTTTATAAAATTGTATAAAATTTCGTGGTTTGTTTTAATTCGTGACTTTTTTAAATCTTTGATTTTCTAAATTAATATTTCTCAGCTGGAATATTCAGTACTGCATCAAGTGCTGTTAGAGCACGATATTACTCTGCACATTTTGATGGATGGCGATTTCGAGTTCGACAAGGAGAAGATCAGTAAGATCTTCTATGGTCTGGACGCAACCAAATCTTATACAAAAAAGGATGCCCGAGTATTGGCTGGCGACGTAGATCTGAGACGACAGGTCAAATTTTCCAAAAACGTGTTGGGCTACTGTACACCGCTGTCGTTGGAAACAAACGGTACGATATTTAGCGGTCATAAGCTGCGTCTGGAGAAATTGGCATCAATCAAAAAGTTTGCGAGTGTCTTCTCAAAAAGGATTGCTCTCACCGCTAAACCCAACACGTGCCAATTCTGCGAATGTATTGCTGATAATAACGGCGTGACGCAAATGGAATGCGTGCCTTGTGTATATCCGACGCCTGTTCACGTAGATTACGTGAGTGTATGTATCGCTTAAACTTTAGTATCTAAAACTTATTCAAAATACAAATTTCTTCATTCTTAACATACAAAGATGTTTTTTCGAGTTTGAAACGCGTTAGTGTCATTTTTATACCGACGTTTCGTGAACATTACAGCTCACTTCATCAGGGTTTAAAGAGCAGCCTGATACTGCTTCTTCATTCTTATCATTTTCAATTCATTTTCCTCAAATTTATCTTTACCATGTGTGTGTTCCTAAATCTTAGTATTTGAATTATTGCAACTTACAAAATTAAATCCTTAAATGCACACACTTTCAAACTTGTATTTATTTATTTACAGGAACTCTTTAATCTGAACGAGACGCTCTTGATGATACCACCCATAGACGATACAGATTACGGTCAAATTGATATAGAAGACGACTGAAGTGTCAAAAAACTTAGACAAAAAAAAAAATAACATTATATATATATACATATATATTAGGTCTACCGGAAAGTTCTGTCCGTTTTTGGAATAAAACAAAATACAAATTTTTCTTAATTTTTCAAAAATGGGATATACAAATTGCCCTTACGCTGACAAGAAATCATTAATAATAATGGCAATTATATTATTTAATAAAGTTTATTGACGGTAAGAAAAATTTGTATTTTGTTTTATTCCAAAAACGGACAGAACTTTCCGGTAGATCTAATATATATATATATATGTACAAGTGTCGTATCTATGCTGATGATAATATCTGTCGAATTTTCGAGTAGTGTTAATGATATGATTATACAATTAGGAACATTATCATCAACACATGTATGAACATATATACTTTTATAGAACAATATACTTAGTTACTTTTTCTGATATACATTATTTAATTGTATTAACTTATAATACATTTTATAAAATATATAAAATATACATTTTTTGGCACGACTCGCCGATCTACAAAACTAGCAGTGTATAATGATATGTATATTTTTTTATAGATATATTTGAAAGAAATGTTTATTATTTTTGACATTTTCCAAATTTTATAAATTGTGTGTGTGTGTGTGTGTGTGTGTGACATCATATATTGTTTTGAATAATTTAATTGCTTTTCTTAACCTATTCTTTATAAACGTGAACAAACTTTAATAAACAATTTTCACTAAATGCAAATTTTTTTATTTTTTCTTCTCCGTAAAAGGATATTATTATTCTATAAGTATTTAAATCTTCTAACATTCTCTTATTAAAAGTATTTCAAATAATCAGTTTTTATTGATATATGTTTTTTTCTTATTCTAATGAGTTCTAGAATGACATTTAAGAAAACATCTGATTGTAAATAAAATAAAAAAACAAAACAAAAATGTAAATTTAACGAACTTAATAAAATATTCATACTGTGATAAAATTCTTACTACATTTTGTCTACATTGTATTTTGTAAAACACATATATGTATGAATTTTTCGTTGTCAATATTATTTTAATATGACTTTTTTCATTTATGCGAGTTATATCAATATTGACACATGTATTATATATTTGCAAATATACGTACTTTTATATTAACGCAAAAATTTGATAATGGCATAATACAGGTAATATATTAGTAAGGCTAAAGCAATTCCAATTGTTGTTCTTATTCTCGAGTAACTTTAATTTTTGAAAAATCATATATTTTACATATATATTTTACATATGTATCATATTATATTTATTTATTTATTTTAACATATATTTACATACGTAGTGCAACTTTAATGTGTATATACGTAATGTATATATGTATATATATTCTTCTTGCAATAGAGCATGTTTATTTCAAATTACTTTAAATCGTAGTAAATATTTAACAAAGTAGAACATTATTGCAATATACAGGATGTTCCAAAATTGTATATAAGACAACCGGTTTTTAATAAAATATTTTTTCTAAGATAGATAAAAATTCTTACATAAAATTATTAAGGATAGAATAGTTTTTAAATAAAAAATAAGTCATTAAGTTATTAAAATAATATTTTAAAATACTCTTTATATATGTACATAAAAAATACGTAATATGAAAATTTGCTGTGTACAAGCAAAATCAATCTTTTAATTTTGATAAAAACAGTTTTTTTATTCTATGTAATATAAATCAATATTTTATGTTCAAAATCAAACTTTGCAACTTTGCAAATATCTTTATTTATCACACTTACTTGTTAAAATTTTTGTATTAAAAAAAAGCCAAAAAATTTACCATTAAAACAAATTTTGACTCTCTTTTTATACTTTTAGTATAAAATGTTTTAGTACGGTATGTAAAGTTTTTTTACACCCGTTCTAATACAGAACTGATAAGCACTGATAAACTTTTACATTATTATTTGCATTCTAATTATAAAGTATTTACTACTCAGTTAAACAACCGAAAAAAGTGAGTTTTTTTACAATTAAAATAGTTGTGCTGTAAAGTTCAGAGTACAAACAACTGTTAACTTTTTGGTAACAGTAAACATACAGAGTCTTTGTTTTTGGAACAATATGAAATTATCTGCATCAATGTCTGTATTTATTTTAATCCTTCTTATAAATATCAATTTTCAAGTCTGTAAAGGTAAGAACTTAAACTTTAAGATTACTTCTATATTCTTCCTTGTGAAATATTATAATAGTAGGGAAGTGGCCAATTCAAGGCAATAACCTTTTACTCACGATATGTTGAGACGTCGATGGGAGAATGTTTTTCGGAGTAGTAACGTTGTTAAGGATGTAGCTCAGTCTGTCGGTGGCCGTCGCGCTAGTTGGTAAATCGGTTTGTTTTTTCGGATCGTTATCATCGAGACTTTTGTTTCGTGTGCTGTTTGAAGGTAATGTGCGACTGATGGATTAAGTTCTTCCTATACCTTTCTGTAAGTTTTCAAAAACCTTGTAATTTGGATTATGCGTTATTAACCGCTTGTATTAGCCTGTTTAATATATTTGTATACTGTTATATGTAGTACACTGAAAAAGATTCAAATTAAGGGTCGAAACGTTTGTTCAAAAATAAAGAAATTTATTGGCCCGAAGATCTGGTTATTGCCTCAAATTGGCCACTTCTCTACTATTATTTAAGATTATTTTTTTAATAAAAATTGTGTTTTAAGTTAAAAAATCTAAATGTTTTTTAGCTTTTAAAACAAATTGATAAAACAAATTTCTCTATATGTATATTTCTATTTATCTATATTATCTCTATTTTTATCTCGTTTATTTAAATCCTTGAGACAAGATTGTTTTATTTATATAAAATTTGTCATTATAATAGCATACTGGCAGTATCCTGCATGGTCTTCTGCATCCGCTTCTGCATCTGCGCATGCATCTGGTTCAGGATCTTCGCATGCATCTGCATCTGCATCTGCATCTGCTTCAGGATCTAGAAGATATATCAACCCAAAAGATATATCAACTTCAGAAGAATGCGCGCGTGAATGTCAAGACGGCGAGCCATCAAAAATTTGTTATTATCATTTTGTTCTCGAATTATATTCAGCAAATGGCGCGTACGTAACATATATGCATGCTTTACTTATTTTACATACAACTAATAGATTATAGAATTTGTTTATTGTAGTGCGTGCGACTACTGTAACGTGTCGGTAACTGATCCAAGAATTAATACCGCATGTGAGTGCATTATAGGTGATGGAATTGAAAAAACGGTGATGTCCATCAATCGCATGATTCCAGGTCCAAGTATCCAAGTATGAGTCTATTTAAAAAATTTATACGTGTGATTGTATGTATACGGAATAATAATTTTTAATAATATTAATAATTATAATAATTATAATTATAAATAAGATAAGGTACTATCTTAGAATCTTACTTAGTATTACTTGTTAATTCTTTGCACAAATAATAAACGACATACGCGTATTTAAGATTTGTGAAGGTGACACTGTTATCGTCGACCTGCAAAATGATGCCGAAGGTATTGAAGCAACTATACACTGGCATGGAATTTTCCAAAATGGATACCAATATTACGATGGTGTGCCGTACTTAACGCAATGTCCGATTTTATCAGCTAATACTTTCAGGTGCTTAATAGTTTATTGTATTATTTACACACGTGTTGCGCGGCAATGCATTTCTACCATACATTATGTTTTCGTCTCTACAGATATTGGTTTAAAGTTAAAAATGCAGGTACGCATTTCTATCATTCTCATATCGCGACTCACTTGTTGGACGGACAATATGGATCTCTTATTGTACGCAATCCACCTAGATCAAATCCTCATGTTAACTTGTACGACAAAGATTTACCAGAACACGTAATTGTTATCAGTGACTGGATACACGAATTATCATTAGATCGTTTTCCTGGTAGATATAGGAGCAATCGCGGGCAGGCAACAAACAACTTTTTAATCAATGGCAGAGGCAATTGGACGGTAAAACTAATTTAAAATAGATAATTAAAATCTTTGAAAATTTATTTATTTTATATCTTTAAAGTTCTAAAAGCAAAGAATGGAAAAAGAAAAAATCGACTAACATACACATAGGATATCTCTTTTGCATGTGAATCTTTTTAATATTTTATATATATACATATATATATATGTATATATATATTATTGTATCTATGTACAATATACATATATTCTCTCAGCAGAGAATACATAAATGTAGAGACATAATTTGCAATATATATTTAAATGTGTATATTTTTCTAGGATCCTGTTACTAGAGTAAGTACGAACGTTCCTCTTTCAATGTTCATGGTTGAAAGCGGAAAAAGATATAGATTTCGCTTGATTAATGCGTGCAGCACAATTTGTTTGAGTGAAGTGACAATCGAGAATCATTCCGTCACATTAATTGCCACTGACGGTGAAAATATAATGCCGACACCAGTGAAAACACTTACTACGTCTTCAGGTATATATTTGATAAATATAAGTAATCTATTTAACCTAATAACCTCCTTTTAATTGAAATTCAATGACTGTAACTAATTACTTGTAAAGCTAAAGTGATACCAAGTGATTTCCGCTGAAGATAACAAGTCATTTTCTTACTATTTCCATTTTGTACAATTACTCCGTTTAAAAGAAATTTCATATTCTGAATTTTGTCTTAATAAACGAAATAAACTTCTAAATGAATAAATAAGTATGATTATTTTTTTTATATGCGTGTAGGTGAACGTGCCGATTTTATTCTGAATGCGAATCAAACGGTGCGTCAATATTGGATACATGTACGTGGGACCGGTGAATGTCAACGTCGTCAAGTGTATCAATTAGCAATACTTAGCTATCAGGGAGCTTCGGAATTATCGTTATCACCAAACCCAGGATATTCAATGGAGACGTCTGAAAATGTTGTAAGTATCATACACAAGACTATTAAAGTTTTAAATAAAGTATAAATCTTCACAATATACTACATAAAACTTGAATAGAGTCTGCTCGGTTCGATCACTAATCTGCCGTTTGACTTTTTCTGTCACTGTGCTTTCACAGTTTCTGTCTTTTGTCAACTGTTTAGTAGAAATAACTGACAAGACACAAACCGGATGCGAACACATACAGTTAATTGCACATATGTCAATTTGTCATCTAATATCTTGTTTACTGAACACATTTGTAGTTTAATCCGCCGAATTCTACAAATTGTGGAAGTGATGTTTGTGTAGATCAATTGCGCAAAATCTATCTTTCCAACGAGTACCAAATACCATTGCAAAGACAGGCAGACATGACACTCGTTCTGTCGTTTGAGTTTTTTAATTATTCTGCAAATATACAAAACTTATTTAATAAAAACAACGGAGAATACAAAAGATTTTTTGGTAAGTGTTTTGTAACTGAATTCAAAAATAATTTCGTAACACGATACTTATTTCGTGACTTTTTAAGTGTCTCCAACCGGTAGTCATTTGGACAGCTTGATGGCAAATATTTCATATCAAGATCCACCAGCACCGCTGATCTCGCAGAATGACGGATACGAATATATATGTGGAAATGAAGCTACACCAACCACATGTACAGAACCTTGCACTTGCACCATTGTTTACAATATTCCTCTTTATGCGATTGTAGATGTGATGACTTATGATAAAAGTACGTCTACGTAATGTACATACCTATAATGTAGAAAAATTCGGAAGAAAAATAGAAAGCTTTCTTCTCTATGTGGCGACAACACGCGTAAAAAACAAAGCTATCTGTTTTTCTATTATTTTATAATATACATATATATATGTATATATATATATATATATATATATATATATATATATATATCGTTATTATCTAAAAGAATTTAATCAATTATAATACGTTACAGTACCTATAAATGACGTAAATCATCCATTTCACTTGCACGGTTATAGTTTCTGTGTATTGTATGCTGGTCAATTTGTTAATGCAAAAAACAAAGAAGATATATCAAATGAAGATGTAATCAACGAGTTGCGTGCTCATAAATATCGTTTATTTAATGGAAATTATAGATATTGTTCTCCCAAAGATACTGTAATTGTACCAAATACTGGTTATACGATTATACGTTTCGTGGCAAACAATCCAGGTTTGATGATCTTATATACAATTTTGCGTAACAAATTTTTTACTGTGTCTATTACTTGAATAAATATGTGTACGTGTCTATACATATGTATAAATGTCAATATCGTGTTGGCACTTTCTAACGAAATATAAATTTTTCTCTGCACACGTTTGAAATAATCTCAAATTAAAAAAAAAAAAAAAATATATATATATATATAACTCGAAAACAGAATTTTTAATTTTTGTACAGGCTGGTGGTTTTTCCATTGCCACTTCTCGTGGCACACCGCGACAGGAATGAATGTTGTTTTTCATGTCGGTAGGCGTTCAGATCTTCCACCAGTACCAAAAGATTTCCCAAAATGCTACAACTGGAAGCCAACAGTTTAACTTAACAACAAATTAAACTTAAATTATTATTTATATAAACTCTTATATATGTAATATTTGTCTATAATGTATATTATAATGTATAAAAAAATGCATGTAAAAAAAATAAAAATAAATATATTATAACAAAGAAAAGTATATTTATAATTACGAAAAGTGTTATTTTTATTATTTTGTATTTCTTATTTATGATATTTAATATACTTTGTTTTCTTTAGTCTTTTGCTACTTTTCTGTTTCAAATTTGTCATAACTAGTTTTATCTCTCTCTTTTCTTCTCTATTGCTCCTGTTTTATTTATTATCTTGCTGTGTTTGGTTTAGTTAAAAAACAATGTAAAACAGTCTAAACAAAATAAAATACTTCATCATTTTTTACACATTTTCAATATAAAAATTATTTCTTTATAAAGTAAGTTTTGATTGATAGTTGTCGATGTATTTTTTTTTTTTGTATCGAGAAGAAGACTTGTGAGCGGAAACGCTGTTATATGCTTCTTGTAAATAATTACAAAGTTGCTCAATCACGAAATCGTGCTTCTCTTAGATTAGAATGTTGGAAGGGGTTTAACGTCTTACGCTATACATGGATTTATACTTTCTCTTTCTCTTAGTGTGACATAATTTCACGTATAACACAGCTCACTGCGGAAACTAGTCCAGTGTCGTTTCATATTCAACTTCGATGCAGTCATGCCGAGAAATCGCTGTATCCTTATTACAACGTTGCTCGCCACTATATTGGCAGCACTCAGTTCGCCCGTAAACCAGGTAATTCTCTAATTTTACGCTTGATAAATATCTTTTTAAAAAATTAACAAATTTTGTTTTCTAATGCGCTGCCATAATTTTTATACTATGATTGTCGAATTGTGTTATTCTTAACGATGTTAGTGAGAGATTGCTGATAAAGTTTTGCAAATATGTTAGGGAGGAGTGACTGCGGACGATTATTATGATCAGTATCAGAATTTTCAACCAGCAATTGGATTTCGCGGGCCTATCGTCGTGAAAGAAGAACCGAAGAAAGGACAGGATTTCAGTAAGATTCCTGGAATCCCCGGAGTAGATTTTCCTCTTTATCACAGAGTGCCACATACGAGTTTTTCCTGCGCGTACGTTCCTTTCATACCAGGAATGTATGCAAATGTGGAAACTGGTTGCCAGGTACATATTAAATTTATTTCGCACGATATCTTTTATTAAAATGAATATATTTCTACAAGCTGGAGAAGCTATGCCGTAGTGTGAAATCTCAACTACTCTGTTTAGATGATTTTAGATTCTTATACATGAAAGTTGTATTAAAAAATTAAAAGTTTTACTAAAAAAAAGAAAAACAAACTGAATGTGCGTATGTTGCCTTCATTTTTTTCTATTATATTATAGCTATATATAATATTGTTATTTTAAGTTATAAATACATCTTTGTAAGTTAATACTGTGCGCACGTTACTGTTACTATAATACACGCGTAAAATATGATTAATATGTATACGATTACAGGCATATCATGTTTGTCACGACGGACGAGAAGGGCATCAAGGTGCTTCTTTCTTATGCACCAATGGAACACTTTTCAATCAGAGCAAATTTGCATGCGACTGGTGGTATAATGTTAATTGTGCTGAAGCACCTACGCTTTACAGGTAAGTTTAAAAAGAAAATGTTCATGACACATAAAATATTTTGTACACTTGTAATAAATTAATTGTAATTATTATACATATACATGTATAAAATAATATATGCAATCTGTGCGTTTGCAGATTAAACGGTGATCCTCTACAAAATCCGTTTGTATCTAAAGAAGAAAAAGATGCGATTCAAGAAAGATTAAGGCTTGTCATAACTTAAATCTATATATCTAGCTAAATACTTTACTTATACGCTTTACTTATATTATGTAAATAAAGTTTACGTCTGTATCTGTTTTCTTAAAAAAAGAAGTACCTAACCACCAAATAACAAAAATAAACATAGTTATTTAACTCTAATCTATATTTTTGTTTCTTACATCACGATTATATTATTTTTATTATAATACGTCTATACGATACTAGTACGATTATATAGTTTATGTTAAACCAAATCTCTTGATAACTTATAACAACATTTTTGGAGCTTTTTTGGTCACATTCTTTTTTGTTTCACAGAAGCGAAATAAAAACGAAATTGTTTGTTTACTTCCAATTAAACCTATAACTTATCATCATAAATTTTTTCCGCTCCGATTGTTCTATCTGCATGTAACCTCATCTTAAAACAGTTTTGAATATTAAATATAGTTTAGTTTAGTTTGATGTGCTCATTGGCTCCTGTGCCTCCTGGACCTAGAGCGGTTAGTCCATACGCGATTCTGTTATTCGGAATATGAATTCTCCGATCTATATGCAGGGTGCCTTCCAACTACGTACACAGGCGACACTACTGTGTAACACAGTGTTCACTAATATGAGTGAGACACACTGATATGCTCTTTCTCACACTAATGAACACTGTGTTACACAGTATTGCCTATTTACGTGGTTGGAAAGCACCCGTAAGTTAGTGACGCCAGATTTCGAACGTTTGATAACATGTGGTAGCAGCCGCAGCATGGAGGGGATGCGCACAGCTTCATACCGTGTACGTGTGCGCAGAGGAACACCCTCGGAAAAGAAGCAAAGGAACTCTATTGCTACTCTTCTCCAGAAAAAGACAACCAACCATTGCCTCTTTCTCTGGATCCCTCTGACGGACGTACAAAAGACCGTCCTTGCCCGTCACTTATCTCGGTCGCGCACCATTTATCCCACCATCGCAAGAAGGAACAGGTCCTCGCTAGGAATGTTTGATTCTGAATCGATTCTCCGAAGAATCGATTTTTTTGAATCGCTTCTCGGATGTTCGATTCTGGCACGAATCGATTTGTTTTGTCACGAATCGATTTTCGATTCGCCGAGCGTTCCGAAACAGTGTTCGCAGTTTTAGACCGCTTACAGTATGCCGCAGCGGTGAAGAAGATGCACACAACAGCCGGGTACTTGGCTCGTTGCTTTATCTTGAATTTTAATAATTTTAAAAATTTAATTAAAAAATTTCAAAGTTTATATGAGATAGTAACTACAAATACAATTTTTTGAATCGATTTTTCCATAATAAATCGATTCTTGCCAGAATCGAACATCCAAGAAGCGATTTAAAAAAAATCGATTCTTCGGAGAATCGCTATCCTTACTTTGCTCGCTTTCCTTCCTTTATGCGCAGTAAAATTCTCTTCTCAAATTAGATTTGTTTTATTTCCTGCACTGGCTGCGCTAGTTCACTGTCTATCTTTTTTTTTATATTAGAAGAAAAAAAGATAGACTGTGAACTAATGCAGCGAGAGCAAGGAAATAAAACAAACCTATTGAACGCAGTATAGCGACCGAGTCGTAAGAAGATACAGTGGGAATAGTAGGATCGCCATCTAGCGATAAGTAGGTGACATAATTCACTGATGTTTATGTGTATTAAAGACAAGTTTCTCTGTGATTTTTAGTCAGCTTTTCATGTCAACGTTGTGATTTGGATACAATGATTAATTAAAGTATCGTACGTGATACATTTAAATTGAATAATTGTGTCACAACCAATGCAAAGTAAACTACTAGAGTTTATTACTAAGAAATCTTTACAGTTGATATGGTCTGTTTTAGGTTAGACTAATGCTGAAGTCTTTAAATTAGTCTACAACAGTTCAAAAAATAATTGTGAAGTTATATTTATAGTCTGCTTCTATACTTGAAAATATGTTTGTTCCAATTCGACGAGCAGTACTGTTTAACACAGTAGCAAAATATGTCAAACAAAAGAAGTACAGTACTTCTGCTATCAGCCAAGTCGAAGATGAAGCCAAAAATACAATGGAAGCAGTGTATCCATCGATTGAAGACCTAAGCTATAAAAGTAAACAAAAGAAGAAGATGCAAGCTTGGTATGATCAGATCAAGGCATTGGAAACTGTAGAAGAAAAACTGTTTAAAATTAACATGCCACGATATTATGGTTTCCTGTCATGTTGCTTGAATGAGTACATTGTACCTTACAATTCTTTGTCACATGCACAGTACTATACAAGAACACATATTATGAAAGAGCCTGGCCTTCCAGCATACTATAATAATGTAATTTCTAATGAACAGTTAGATAACACAGTACAAGCGATCAAAAGTAACATAGAAGAAAATATAGTTTTTGAGTATTGTATTAGAAGGTTGGTATATATCTACATGTTACTGAGAATTGGAAATATTTTCCTGATTATTATATAAAACACTGTTTATGTAACAGTTACTAACAATTAATTATTATTAGCTAAATTTTAAAATTGAATGCACATATATTTTGTATTGCAGAAGAGAGCATGAATTAGAACCAAACACATTGGGTGAAAACATTACAGATATAACAAGAGAACGAAACATCGAAAATATTTTATCTAAAGCACTAATTCAGAAAATTAATAGAACAATGCTGATACATCTATCCTCTAAATATCCACATTTATTGCATTCTGAAACGGATCTTGAGCCAAGATTGGAAGCATCTTGGTTTATGGGTGGTACAGATCCTCCTGCACATGTAAGGAAGTTTAAGAAATATGTGCTACGTCAAGAGAAGTTGGCTGATGAACTGGTAGATATACCTGTTCAGTATATAGGTCAGCCTGCTCTACATTTGAGACATAAGCATCCTCTGAAAGAAATCAATTTCCGAAGCGAGTGTGAAAATCCTGCTTTAGATGTGCCTATATTTACATATAGTCCAAAAACATTAAATTACAGATTCCAAAGAAGACATCTCACTAATATACCTGGATTTTTGCCAGGTGATCAAAATGAATTCGGTCTCTTGTCTTATCATACTTGTCCCTACTTGCTTCACAGACCGAAGGAATTTAATGACACGTCAATAGCGCTCACAGGACAGGCTGTTTTAGCGTCTTATAGCTGGTTATTATCACAAGCCTGTTATCAAGGTAATTCTATAATTTATCTTTCTAGGTTTACTTTGTACTTTAACTCGAACTCTGATTTTATACTTGTTTATAAATTTCAGGTTTCACCACTTTCAATGATATTACATATCCGCTAGTTACTCAAACAGTTATAACAAATGGACAGTGGTGGTCATTCTTTGTTTATCAACTCAATACCATATTACTTCACTCGGAGCATTCGATAGAGAATCCGCTGCGTAACATATGTTGGGTAACAGAACCAATGAAGTTGTATGACACAATTGAAAACGAAAAAGTGTTGGGTTTAAATGAAGAAGTTCTCAAGACTCTAGTCAAGTTTTACGCGAACGCTCCCGAGGAAAGAATAGGAGTAAACATGAAACCGTACTTGGGAAAATCCGTGAAATTAATAGCCGACATCGAACACGATGAAAGAAGAAATTGGCTGGAGCAACAGTACAAGCATCTCGTGTGCAACAGGCCGAGACACAGGTACAATAAAATACGATAACAATGAAATCTGTTTTTGTAATTTTGTGTGTGCGATTTTCTTTTGTTTACATTTCAAATAGATAAAGATAAATTCACGTGTTAAAACAAAAGATATTTATTTTATAGTATATCTTTTAATATTTATTGAACTTATTTTCTGTTTTAGACGAATTCCAGAAATATATCAGTGGCAAGACATCTATATTCGCAAATTTAAAACTCGTCCGCTTGATAAGAAACGAGAACCATGGGAATTCGGTATCAACCAATTAAAACGTAGATTAGATGAGCACCATCCACGTTATATACCAAAGTGTTTACGAGCAAATCCTAAGAAAAAGAAGATAGGAAAATGGGCAAACACATATTATCCATAATTGAAGATGCGTGTATTAAATACATATAAATATATAACAATAAAATTGAAATATATGAATAAATTTTTTCTATAAGTAACATCTGTAAATTCAGTCGATATAAATATATCCGTCTGTTTCCTATAAAAAAAATCATTCATTAGTAGCAGATATTAGACACAGCAGTTTTAGAACACAACTTTTCATCTTATAAGATGAAAGACGATAAACCTTGTAGAGATAGATATTGTCTTATTGCGACAAGTATAATATTGTATTGAAGGAGTTTGGAGGTAATCGTAACTTTAGCATATTATTTGTGCTCTTGTCTTTGATTGTTATATCAAAAGGCTCGTCTCCTCTGTAACAGAAAATTTTTTGATTATATGTTGTATATGTTTCAACAATTTTACTAAGCGTAAACAAAAATTTGTTCACCAAAATTTGTCTCTAGAAATAACTTTGGAAAATTAGATCTAAATTTCTTTAAGAATTATTATTCATTGTTTTGCATGAAAGTTCAAATTAAGAATTATTCAAGTGAAGAATTATTCAATAGTTAACTTGAATAATAGTTAAGAATATAAAATCCTTAACATTGATAATTAATCACTAACTTGTTGACGACTGGAACAACGATTTTGTTTTCCGGCGTCAAAAAGGCAACCGTTTTAATTAATTCATCCTCTATTCCTTCGGCAGAAATTCTGATAGAACCACGCGGCACAAATTTGCTAACGTGAGCAAGCGCGTAAAACATGGGCTCTTTGTAAAACTCGTCGTTTGTAGCGTTTATGATAATCGGTGAATCTACATAATTTTTAGCCCAATTTGGTCCGCCTTGCATGTCAAGAGCAATGTTCCAGTCTATCCATCCAACCACCCAATGGTTTAAGTTCTGAAAACAATGTATATATATACATTACACAGTTTCCATGATAAAAATAAAAAAACTAAGCATAAAACAGGATTACAAAATTAGAGTTAAGTAAAAATTTAATTTAAGGATAGAAAGTGTGTTTGCAGTAGCATAAAAATCACAAACATCAATTATATCTAGGATATATTTGTTTCCTCGTTCCCACGATCCTAATATCACTTTTTCATTTTTGAAGGACTGACTACCTGTATAAAGAAAAATATGTGAATCTCATTGAAGAAACTGTCGAGAGAAGATTATTATCATTATTATATTTGTATTATTATAAAAGGTGTAGTTAATTAATTATGCTTACCTTCACAAGCCTCTGTCATAAGTATGAACTTGTTTGGATATTTGTCGTGTGTATCAGTGAGTCTTCGTGGCGAGAAAATATTATTAAAGTACCAATGGTATGCAATGCCGTTAAACAATGTCTCAGCACGAGGTTCGGATTTGAACGCAAGATCGACGAACCACGGCAATGCGAAACGTTGATCGTCCATCAACATATAGACGGGATTGTATCCGGCCTTGGATAAAGTTGAGTTTAAGTAATCCACTGTCCACTTTGCTCCACTTATTGGTGTCCATCCCATTGAATTGAATGAGAAGAATGGCACAAATCCATCAAACGGTTCATTGCCTGGTGTTACGCCCCAAATATCTATACCACGTGTTTTGTACGCGTCAAAGAACTTTTTCCAATACTCAGCGTAAAGCTGATAGTACTCTTCCTTCAGAGTACCTGTTATGTTTCTTGATTAGCGCAACTTATAGAAAGTTTGTATATAGACTCGAATCGCATAATTACCCCATTTTGTTTCGTTGGTCGTTTTCATCCACGCTGGGGCAGACCATGCAGTAGTAAATATTTTTAGAATGTCATTTTCAGGCATGATTTTTTTTATATTGTGAAGATATTCGATTTTGTAATCGTCTTCTTCCACAAGTGAAAAATTGTTTAACTTAATGTCACCCGGTACGTCGTCGTATGTGTATGGTTTTACCGAAAAATCAGTACCTGCGATGGGTATGCGAATGACAGTATACCCGATACCGTTGGCGCCGTAATACGCTCTATGAAAACAAAATAAAGTAAAATTGTGATTATGCAAAATGAATTAAATCCAGTTAGATGAACTCTGCAGCAAAATTCGCACAATCCGATACATTGTTAAATTAGTTTAACAATGCATAGCCTTGTTTCTCGTTTTGAAAAAGCACTCCGCTCGATTCTGATACAACATTTATCTCGCTCTATAAAATCATAATCTCTGTCTCTAATTCGTTCATATTAACTTTTCTATCAAAGAAAACGAAGTAACGAGATTATTCTAGAGCAGAGTTAAACTACGCTTTCTGTGCTTGGGAAATTGTTCCGTAATCTCTTATCGGATATGTTTATTAATATAATGTAAAGTCAAGTAAGCGCTGAATTTTCCATTTAAATTTATAGAGTAGTTTTCTAGAAGAAAATATAAAAAGAGGTTGCACATGACACTACAGAAGAACTATGGCCGCAATGAATAATTATCAGTAGAATAAGACTAACAAGTCTTCCGATGACCTAATTCCAGAAAAAAGGAAATAAGATACGAAAAAAAACCAAAAATAGTTACTGCAATAAAATACAAAGCCTTCGCTGAACCTGTAGTATAATTTGGATTGAAGTATTCATAAACCAATTGTTGTGCTACATGAATAATAATATTCCCGTTATCGTCTGTTTTCGAAGAAAGGATAGATACAAGAAAAAGCGAAAGATAGCAGCAACATTAAAATACTGTCTACATTTAAATATTGCTGTCGTCACAATTCTACTAATACCGATTACGTACTCGAGCAAGTTCTGCTGCGTGCTGTTGCTGAGCGATCTAATATTAAGTGCGGCGGCGTCGGTCATCGCGCCACCAAATCCAAATATCGTTTGATACGTCTTATTCTTGTCTACAGTGAGAATCCTGCCGGTAGAAGTGTTAGTAAAATTGCTGACGGACAGTTGCATTCTCTTTCCATCCTTGGTGGACATGTACCATGCAAATTGATTTTCATTAAGCGTGCTCTGTTCTGGTGAATCGCAATAGGTCGAGTTGCAGACACACACGATCTTATCTTTTTCAACCAGTTTTGGCACGCAATTGTCGCCTGCAAGTGAAGAAAGAAATAAGCGATGTCAAAATGAATCAGGTTAGTACGTTACAGCTATTGTGCACTATTTTAAAGATTTTTACGAGAATACTGAAGATCTCGTAGAAATATTAAACATCAAACCGTCAAGAAATATTAGGGACTTCGTAAGTTCATCGTAAAATCAGCCTTGCTTGCTTCAGCGAGCACCGAACTACGGCGCTGATTATATGCAAAAGTTACAAGTTTAAACAAGTCGTTTATCTTTAAAGTGTTGTAGATGCTTTTGATTATTTCTGTCGAGAAATCTATACAACGCACACCGCACAATTCGCGTTTCTTTAGAATTTATTTACTACTATTACCAAATTAATGGATTCGAACATGTGCGATAAGCAAGAAAAATAGAAAATTACGCAATGTTATGATAAAGAAGACACTAAATAAATACACAACAGTTTGCATACTTTACACAGGTAGAACAGTGTAAAACGATAAAATATCTCTCTTTATATTTATTTTTGAACTTACCTTTTACTGCAACAAAAGTGGCGATTAGAATTAGAACGCGTAGCATGTTTGTAAACAGTGCTTGTCTGTAACTCTCGTCTAGACTGTAAATATGATCAGAAAAATATATTATTTATATACCTAATGATTATGTAAGAAGAACATATGTCACGCGCCTAATGATAGTAAAAATACATACATATTTATATATTGGCTTTCCAATTAATAATCTGCGCTATTTACTCTTTTAGTCGCAACTGAAAAACATAATTACAAATGACTTATTATTTATGATGAAAAACAATAACAGACACTTGTAAAACAGGAAAAAAATCATTTTGTACATTAATTTAAGCTAAAAACAGCACATCTTTATATATAACAAATATCAACTTTTATGATGTGATTTAATTGTCTATTCTCATCTTGCGTATTTTCTCTAATATATATTTAAGTACTTATGTGTGCATTTTAAACTTTAATGTCATTTTTCACGGATTTTTCTTAATTGCGTCGCGATCAAAGACTATCAAAATTATAAAAATTAATTAATCCGTATACAGGCATTCGTATAATCACGCAAATTTTCAGTTTCACCGCGCTACAAATGGATCAATTTCTCTATTCAACGATTAAAAATACATTCGTCTAAAAATAAAAATACAAAGAAACAATTTATCCACGTCAAATTTTGTTTTTTTTCACACGTTTTTTCGTAAGATCGTACCTTAATATATCTCGTCGAGAATCGTACTCCAATATCATAACACTATGTGAATCAAGCAGCAGATATACCGTTACTTCTGAGTTCTCGATGATGACTGAACATTATTATGACGGAACATTACCGCGTTACTTTGACGACGCGTCGCGACTGTGTGACTCTTCCTCACGTGACACATACTACATATTACATATGTAGAGTAATACTTAAGATAGGCTGTGCAATGTATATTTACCTGTGATAATATTGTAATCAATGCACATATTATTAGGCTAAAATTCATAAAACAGAGTCACTTTTTTTATGTGATAAATCCTGATTGAAAAAATAAGTTTTTCATATTACATTTCGCCAAAGATGTAATAAAAAAAGATAATCTTATTGTAAAAAGTCAAAAAACCGAAAGTTTCTTGCTTCGAACAATAATTTAAAATTTCAAAAGTAATAAATATTATAGACACTGTTTCTAATATTTGTGTCAAAAAAATTGTGACAAAAAATTTAAACATTTTGTTTTTTTGCCAATTTTCAAAATACCGAAGTAAAGCTCTTAGCCACACAGTAGAGAGTAATTATGAAAATATACTTCAACGCTTTTAATTAATGAAACAAATTTGTTTTTCTGTTTCAAGAGAAATGACAAAATTATGTACGCCATCCAGAAAAACACGTTTCACGCGAATCACTGTATCTCACATGAATATTAATATTTTTTAGTGGCATTTTAAATATGGACAGTTGAATATATGTGTTAATAAACTCGCAAATAAAAAATGAATTGCACTTTTACTTTTTCCGCAAATTTATAAAAACAACAGAATACACAATGCTGACTGTATAATTAATATCAAAAGTAGCTATAAGTATGTAAATAGTGGAGTTTATTTTGTAATTTTTCGTGTAATAGTTTGCGAAAGAAAACAAGTGTATTTTATTTTTTGTCGCGCTCTAGAAAAACATCTCTTTAAAAAGAAAAAGAGAAAGTAGGAAAAAATGAAATATAAGTGATATTCTATCTTTTCAAAGGCAAATATTTATATTGATTACATATTTGTGATTAAGCCATATACACAGTTTGTCCGGAAAGTTCCCGGACTACGTGAATTAAAAATCGAAAATGAAAG